TTTTCCCAGGGGGAAAAGGGGAAAGAGAATTTTTCCTCTGATGCCAAGGTGTTGTAAGAGGTGACTAAAATGCTGGGAATGAGGACTAGTAATTCCTTCTCCTGTACACATTATTAAATTTTTTTTTAGGTCCCCCTCCCTCGGTGGATTGTTGCCAAAAACAAAAGATTTTTTCGAAAAAATTTTGGGTTTGATTAGTTAATATTTTAGTAGAGGCAAAAAATGTATGTCCATAATGATAAATTAGAACATAGCAAACTTGGGTATTTTTAAATGGGGAAACGTTTCGCCCAACAGTGGCTTCACGGACTGATGAACCACTGTGTGGCGAAACGTTCCTCATTTAAAGATACCCAAAGTGTTGCATTGTTTTAAATTTATAAAATTGTGGGTTTTCTCTGAACCATTCATCTACTTTCATGTCACATAATACCATATTCTTGTTACCTTCTGGAACAAAGTGCTTCAAAAATGTTTGTATAAAAAGGAAAACTGATTTTATAACTTGCATGGATTTTTTTAGGACTTTTGTGAAAGTGTGGCCCCTCAAGGGAAGCAGTACATTTTTCTCTCAACCTATGTAGATGTGAAAAATCTTTATGCATTTATGTGATTTAACTACAAATCAAAGCTGAAAAGCTAAATGTTTTGGGCGGTTGGTCGTCGTTCGGTCTCTGTCTCTGTCTCTCTTGTCTGTCTCTTTTCTTTTCTTTTTTTTTTTTTTTTTTTTTTTTTAAAGGGTTTTACAAGGTTAAGGATCCCTGCTTTAATTTACAGCTATTTACAGGTTTAAGGGTTCCTAACTTTATTGGAAGCTAAGAGCTGTTACCCACTCAGCTCATTTGGGAAAACATTTTTTTATTGTTTTTGGAATACAAGTAGGAAAAAAGGATAAGTTGGAGCCATCTGTGGGGCCGCATTTTTATTTGATCAAAATGACTTTATTTTATTGACATATTATGTGTCGAAGTGTTCCATACTCGAGTCATCTGGGGTTTTTATTTATCTCAGATGGAGTGATGTTTTGGAGAAGGGTACAGCGAGTTAAGTTGCTGTTTTTTTCTCTCTTCCCCATTCTCTCCCCTCTTCTCTCTCTCTCTCTCCGTCTCTCTCTCTCTCTCTCTCTCTCTTCCCTCTCTCTTCTCTCTCTCTCTCTCTTCTCTCTCTCTCTCTCTCTCTCTCTCTCTTCTCTCTCTTCTCCCTCTCTTCCTCCCTCTCTCTCTCTCTCTGTCTCTCCTTTTCTCCGTTTTCTCTCTCTCTTTTTCTCTCTGTCCTCTCTCTCTCCGTTCCTCTCTTCCTCTCCCTCCTCTCTCTCTCCGTCTCTCTCTCTCCTCTCCCTCTCTCTCTCTCTCTCCTCTCTCTCTCTCTCTCTCTCCGTTCTCTCTCTCTCCCTTTTTCTCTCTTCTCTCTCCCTGTCTCTCTCTCTCCCCGTCTCTTCCTCTCCCCATCTCTCTCTTCTCTCTCTCTCTCTCTCTCTCCGTCTCTCTCTTCCCCCTTTTTCTCTCTCTCTCTCCTCCTTCTCTCTCTCCTTCTTTCTCTCTCCGTCTCTCTCCCTCTCTCTCTGTCTCCTCCCTCTCTCTCCGTCTCTTATCCCTCCCCTCTCTCTCTCCGCTCTCTCTCTCTCTCTCCCCCCTCTCTTCCTCTCTTTCTCTCTCCCCGTCTCTTCTCCTCTCTCTCTCTCTCTAAAAGGGAGGAGGGCCTGTTTACCTAAAAGAAGCTATTAAACATTGTTCACTTATGCAAGCAAATGTGGGGCAATAATGAATTAAGTATTTTAATAAAATTTTTTTTTCAAACCTGGGTTAAATTAATGAAAACACCGATATACTAAGGTTTTAAATTTCTTCAAAACAGTAGGGCACAAATTGGGTTGAATTTCATTAACAAATGCCCCTAAACTTAAATATCTCTTCCCTTTCTTATCGTTTTAAACTCCATTCCAACCTCGTTTTTTTCTCGTTCAAATAAATGGCTTTTAAGATTTGTGCGATTTAAATGTTCTGAAAAGAATATTTCACAGTTTTCTAAAAGTCAACTTGCTTTTTTGAGTTTAAAACATATTATGTATCAATATTTCGATACTGTTGTTGTCATATTAACCCCTTCACTGCCATGACCCCCAAAAATTTAAAGAGTTCTGACAGTCTAGCAGTTTTTAAAAAAAAATTGCAGTGCAGTAAAAAAAAAATATTTCTGAAGGTAATGAGCCCAGATTGCAAAGTTCGCAATCTGGGCTCATTTGATTTCCACTACTTTAAGACCTATTTTGCTAATTGCACTGCTCAAAACCAAACCAGTTCCCAGCTATTTTTCTATTTCTATCAACTGAGTACAAGAAAGTATCCTATAAAGACTGCAGAAGTTGGTAATTTGAACAGTTTTACATAAAACTAAAGAAATTCTAATTTAAAAATAGAGTCCAACATAAACACTCTATGCATTTGAGTAACTACAGCCTCTCCTATATAACACTTGCCCTCCATTTTGAATCGACTATCACATAAAATAACTGAAAATCTTCCTATTTCTTGGCTATTAAAAAATAACTAAGAATGCTTGGTCCTCAGGGAAACTGCCAATAATTTAATATTGTTGCTACTTTGAGGCCTATTTCAAGCCACTTCCAGTCTTCTGGTCTACCAATTGTCACCAAGTAACACCAATAAAAATGATGAAAACCACCCAGGAAAATGCCTAAAAGTCACTCTTTTAAATCAAACATGCCCACCACACAGATCCATTGTTGGATGTTCAGGCCAAAATTTACCAATCCCAGAAAATCTGAGAGTCTGTGATTAAGATATATCTACATAAGGGACACTGGCCTCAATGATGTAGTTGTACCTGACTGACAGTGAAAGGTTTAATCAATAATGGTGTAACCTTACTGTCTACCATTAGTATAACAGATTTATGAAACATGACAGTAAAACCCAATTTTCACATCTTTGTGTCAGTTGCTTTACTGATGACCTTCAATTACAGTACAATCACTCAGCCCTCTAAATTATACCTATGGTAACCCCACTCTGTCTCTTAATTTATATGCTCAAAAGTCTATGCATTATGTTCACACAACACACTGCTCTCAAAATGACATCCCCACTGCCTCCAGCCTCCTTTTTGCCTCTATAACTTCTTTGTTTCCACAGAAGTTGCAACACTCACCTGCCTTTTTCCTCCTTGTCTATTCTATGGTTCACCTCATCTTTTACCACCTATCTGCCAACACGTGCACACCCATATACATATCTGAAAACATTCACTTCTTTCATACTCCTTTCCTCCAACATGATATCCAACCTTTCAACTGCCTATGCTTTATGTTACCCTCACCACCTTGCTCTTTCATATGTTTATTTTAATTGTCCTTTTACATTTTTTAACATGCTGGTCATGTCCCACAAAGCAGGGAATGATCCTTAAAAAAGAGGAAACACATTCACCTTCATTCACTCAATCTCTAATTTGTCAGACATGCACTGACATCACAGTTCAGATGTCCTCTTAATTGCAAAAGCCTCACCTGTTTATTAGAGAGCAGGTAATATGATTCCCACTTCCATGACTCAAGTCTGGTTAACAGATTTATCTGAATCCTTTAATAAATGTTGCTTTGCTTATACTCCAACAGAATGTAAGGTCACAAAAATCACTTGAATCCATTCACTCCAATCTAACATGTTCACATAAGTCTGCTCATGTTCAAGCCTACAGCCCTTAAAGCTTTTCCCCCCTCCCTCCAACCCTTCCTGGGATAGCCCCTACCCCCTCCTTCTCTCCATCCCAGATTTACAAACTTTTCTAGTCATTCTATTTTGCTCCATCCTCTCTAAGTGCTAAAAGCACCTCTACAACCCCTCCTCAGCCCTCTCAATTACACTTTTGGTAACCAACACTTTCTAATCTCCACACATAATAATTACCCATATCACACATTGTTCTCAAATATAACATCTCCACTGCCATCAGCCTCCTTCTTGCTGCAACATTTAAAACTCATGCTTCACACCCATGTAACAGTATTGGTACTATGATACTCTGGTACATTCTCTGGTTTGCTTCACTGTATAAAATTCTTAATTACCACAATGCCTCAACATGCCGCCTACCTTTTTTTTTCCTTCTGTCTTAGGTTTACCTCATCTCTCATAAACCCATCCACAGACATTAACACATCCATACGTTAACTTCCTCCATACTCTCTCCCTCTCAATCTGATATTAACTTTTTTATTTCTTTAGATTTTTTGTTACTTTCATCAACTCTTTCTATGTTTACTTTTAACCCTAAACGGTCCAAACAGATCGACGTTCAAATTCGTAGTGCTACAAAAGTAGATCTACTTTTTTTTACATATTTTCAAATATAACAAAAAAAATGTAGATAAAAGTTCTTTTACACGTTTTCAAATGTAAAACAAAAAAGATTACATTTTTTTACATACTTTCAGATGTTGAAAAAAACGTATATATACGTTGGACCATTTAAGGGTTAATATCCTGCTTAAATGTACCCTCCCAAATTCCTCCATCAGCCTTTGCAATTTCTTTTCAGAATCTTCCATAAGAACCACATCACCAGGAAAGAGCAATCTCATCTTGGTGACATCACATCCCTGCCTAAGCCCTACTTTTACTAAAAAATCCCCCTCTCTATCTCTCTCTCTCTCCTAAATATCCTGAGTCTCACTATCTCTTTTCTGCTTTTAATAACCACTGCCACTGCTTTATTATGTTTTTTAAAATGCAGAGCAATATAGGCCTTCATTCTATGAACATTTACAAGGGGTTCCAAACTAACAAACAAGTTGCATTCCTAGTGTTTCAATATACAAGAGAGTTGTTTCTAATCCAAACTAGTTTTCCCTATCACAAAAAAAATACTACAAAGAAAGATCATCTATCAAAAATCCCATAACTGTGGAACAGTATTGGCCAAGAATTTTTTTATAAACATTTTCTGTGGCCTTTGTTCATAAGTACCCTTACATTACCTCAAATATGAGAACTTTAATGCACACAAATGCCAATATGAAGACTGGTTAAAGTATTTTACCATAACACAGTATCATGAGGAACATACTTACTTTCATCAACATGGGTTTTGTTTTCTACATGTCCTTCAATATCTTTACTAAACCATTCATTAAACCACAGATGTGAGTCAAAGAGTGTGGGCATAATAAAGTGTAGCAAAGCCCAAAGTTCAGCCATGCTATTCTGGATTGGTTGTCCCTGACAACAGCAAGCGGTTCCTGCAGCTGAACCCTAGCAGCAGCTTCCATCTCTGACTGTTAAATAAATAAAGGTTATTATGACTATGAAACAGTAGAGTACAAATATATTATAAATCAGGTAATGTTAGGTGGTGCTGTTCGGCAGTGTTAGGCAGTGGTGTTAGGTAGTGAGTGAGTTGGGTGTGAGTTGGTTGCGAGTTAGGAGTGAGCTGGGAGTTAGAGAGAGAGACCTCTTAGCAAAACTGCAAGCTCTGGGAACTGCAGGCTCTATGCTATGTCTCCTCACTGATTACCTTCTTGGTATATCGCTAAGGGTAGTTCTCAATAGAACAGAATCAGCATGACATCCTATTAGGGCAAGTGTTCCACAAGGAAGCGTGCTGGGACCAGTGTTATGGAATGTCTACTTCAACGACCTTCTTCATCTCATCCCAGAATCCCATGCATATGCAGACAACTGTACACTGACATTCACTTATCCAAAAGAAGAAATGCCAGCTGCTCTACGCTACATCAATCACCAGCTGAGAGCTACATGAGCTTGGGGAAATATATGGCAAATAACTTTTGCACCTGAGAAAACACAAATGATGATGATCTCCAGGCATCATGATGGTAATGCCAGTGCAGTAGTAAGGATGAATGGGAGGGTGTTGGCACCTTGGGAAGAAGTTGATATCCTAGGGGTGAAATTTAACTCCAAACTGACCGTGAAAATCCACGTTGTAAATCTTGCAAACAAGGCAGCCAGGAAGCTTACAGCACTTCACCGTATATTGAATCTGCTTGATGGCAGAGGTTGCAAGATTTTGTACGAGGCACAAGTACGCTCACACCTTGAGTGTTCTCCACTTTCTTGGTTTGCCTGCCCCCCTTCTCATCTGCGACTGCTGGACAGAGTAGAGAACAGAGCAAGACATCTCATCTCTTGCATGGACCAATCCTGGATAGATCTGTCATTTCAGCAGAGCCTTCAACATAGGAGGGATGTGGGTGGCCTTACTGTTATGTACAAGGCCAATATTGTCAAAGTACCACACTTGGATCCACTTCGAGGACAGCGTGAAACAAGCTTTTAAGCCACAAGACGGGCAGAAAGCAGCAACTTCACTCTGGCTGTACCCTTCTCCAGAACATCACTCCATCTGAGATCATATATACCCAGGATGACTCGAGTATGGAACACATTCGTACAGCATAATGATGTCAACGAGATAAAGTCAGTTGATCAAAGTTTATTCTATTAGGATTACAATGCTGAGTTTACAGAATTTGGTTATTGTGTGGTTTACATGTAGTAAAATAATGATTACAGAGTGTACCACTAGAACACCTAGCATGGCTAGGCATTTCGGGCAGACTTAGTTTAAATCTTAATTTTAAAATATTACAAATTATGAGGTAAGTTGGTATTATGGCTAAGTGACTAAATACTAGTTTGGAGTTTAGCAATGTGAATGCTTTTGTTTGGGCACTGTACATAGTTTCAGTATTGGATATCACATGATTCATTAATTTAAGATGAGTTACATATTTTCTTTTTATGGTCAAATGGGTGACGTGAGTGTAAGTTGTGAACCACCAGGGTGTATTCGTGTAGTGAGTGAACGGGTGTATCATGGAGATAAGATGTTTTCTACTGGTAGTTTTGAAGGTGAGAAAGTGTCTGCAGTTCTAGAGTTCACAGGTAGGGTGTTCAGATTTAGCGCCTTTGACATACATAGAAATTTTTGTAGAGGTTTAGTCGACAAACGTGAATGTCGAAAGATGTTTGTGGTCTGGTGTTATGCCTGAGGGTTCTGCCCAACTAATCAAGAAAGCATTTTAGGTCAATGTTGATATTGGAGTTTAAGGTCCTGTAGATGTAGATTGCACAGTAGTAAGTGGGATGTACTGAACAGGGAGTAATTTAGATCTAGAAGGGTGGGGGGGGGGGTGCGTTTGCAAGGGATTGGATTAGGATGGATTATTCTTACAGCAGCTTTTTGTAGGGTTAATATTGGCTTTAGGTGTGTTTTGCTGCAGTTGATCCCAAAGCACAAATAGCATAGGTAGTATGGATAAATAAGTGAGTGGTATAGTGTGAGAAGCATAGTTTTTGGCGGCACGTAGGTATTCGTATCTGGAGAGGATCCCCAACCGTTTTGGATACTTTTTGTAATGTGTTGGATATGGGGTGCTTGGGTGCTGAATCTTCAGGTTTGTTGTCAAAGGTATAGGCTAGAATCGTGGCCTCATTATGTCGGGGTAATTAGAGTGTTGTCCGATCTTAATGTTAATTTGTGCATCTCCTGCCTGCCACCAAACATAATAAATCGTAGGTTTTTGTCAGTGTTAACGTAAGTTTAGTGGCTGTCATCCAAGTCGATATTTTGATCAGCTCCTCGTTAACAATGAATGTTGATGTGGCAAGATTAGGGTGAGAGATGACGGCAGTCGTGTCGTCAGCAAAGAGAGAATGGGTTTCAGGTGTTGGGATAACGTTTGGAAGATCATTGATGTATTGAGGAAGAGGCAGGGGACCAAGACACTTCCCTGCGGAACTCCAGTAACACGGCCGTGTTGTTGATGCTGTGTCTTTAATGGTGACATCCCGATACCTATTAGTAAGGTAAGAATTGAAATAAGCAAGCGCATTGGCCTCTTAATACTGGTAATGGTCAAGTTTTGTGAGTAGGATGTCTTGTCTACTGTGTCAAAGCTTTTCTTAGGACAATAAAAATCCTAGTGGATATTCCTTATTTTCCATGCTGTGTAAAGCAGGATCTTAGTCATTTTTATGATTGCATCATTAGTGCTTTTAGTTTTCCAATGAAAATGCGCCCACAGATGGCTCCAACTTCATCCGTTCCCTACGTGTCATGTCTCTAACAATAAACAATGCTTTCAAATGAGTGATGTAGATTACAGCTCTAGCATGTCAATAAATTAAGAATCCCTTAACCTGAAATAGCTTGTCAATAAAGCTAGGGATCCTTAACTTGTCCAACCCTGGTAAGAGAGAGAGAGAGAGAGAGAGAAGAGAGAGAGATAGAGAGAGAGAAGAGAGAGAGAGAGAGAGAGAGAGAGAGAGAGAAGAGAGAGAGAGAGAGAGGGAGGGAGGGAGGGAGGGGGTTAGGTGAGGGAGGGGGTAGGGAGGGAGGGGTGCGGGAGGGCGGGGGTAGGAGGGGAGGGGAGGGTTAGGGAGGGAGGGGTAGGAGGGAGGGGGTAAGGGAGGGAGGGGGGTAGGGAGGGAGGGGGTCGGGAGGGAGGGGGTAGGTAGGCAGGGGTAGGTATGCCAGTAGGGGGGTGGGTGTAACTCACCTAATTGGGTTGCAGGGGTCGAACTCAGCTCCTGGCCCCCGCCCCTCTTCACTAATGCTACAGGTCCTCTTCTCTCTGCTTCCTGAGCTTTAATCAACCTCTTCTAAAACTATGTATGGTTTCCTGCCTCCACTACTCACTTGCTAGCTATTCCAACTTCTGACGACTCTAATGAACTGAAAAAATACTCCTAACGTCCCTGAGACTCGTCTGAGTCTTCAGCTTCCCAGTTGTGACCCCTTGTTCCTGTGTCCCCTCTCTGGAACATCCTATCTCGTCCACCTTGTCCTATTCCCCGCAGTATCTTGTTGTCGTTAACATGTCTCTCCCGTACCCTTCTGTCCTCCAGTTCTCGTCAGTTCCGATTTCCCTCAACCTTTCCTCGTACGCATTCCCCTGAGCTCTGAGGGACTAGCCTTGTTGCAACAATTTGTACTTTCTCTCTAACTTCTTTGACGTCTTGACCAGGTGGGTTCCCAGACTAGTGCGCATACTCCAGTATGGCCTAACATACACAGTGTACAGTGTCTTGAAACGATTCTATTTAAGGTACTGGAAGCTATTCTCAGGTTTGCCAGGCGCCCGTAATGCTGCAGCAGTTATTTTGGGTGATGTGTGCCTCCGGACGTGCTCGGTGTTAGGTCACCGCACCATCCCGAGGTCCTTCTCCTGATGAGGTCTGTAGTCTTTGAGTCCACCTAGCCCTAGTAATCTGTTCGTGTGGTCTTCTTTTGCCCCTCCCCAATCTTCATGACTCATTGCATTTGGCAGGATTGAATTTGAAAGACCAGTTTCTGGGACCACATTCCCAACCTGTCCAGGTCTCTTTGCAGTCCTGCCTCATCCTCATCCATTTAATTCTGCTCAATTCAACTTCACATTATCGCGAATAGGGACACTTCAGAGTCTATTCCCTTCCATCATGTCGTTCGCATATATAAAAAATAGCACTGGCCCTAAACTGACCCCGTGGGACCGCCGGCCGCTTCATCCACAGCGCCCACTGTGATACCTCTTCACGTAACCCATAACGTGCTGCTTCCCTGTCGATGTATTTCCCTGATCCATTGGCTGCCCTCCCTGTTATCATGCCCTGATCCTCCAGCTTCTGCACTAATCTCTTGTAGCGGAACTTGTTCAAAGGCCTTCCTGCAGTCTAGGAAAAACGCAATCAACCCACCCCTCTCATCCGTTCTTACTCTGTTACCTTGTCATAAAACTCCAGGAGGTTTGTGATACAAGATTTGTCTTCCATGAACCCATGCTGGTTTTCATTTATAATCTTGTTCCGTTCCAGGTGTTCGACCACTCTCCTCCTGATAATCTTCTCCATGACTTTGCACACAATACATGTCAGAGACACAGGTGTGTAGTTTAGCGCCTCGTTTCTGTTTCCTTTCTTAAATATGGGGACTACATTTGCTGTCTTCCATTTCTCAGGTAGTTGCCCAGTTTCAAGGGATGTGTTGAAGATTGTGGTTAGAGGCACGCACAGCATCTCTGCTCCTTCTCTAAGGACCCATGGGGAGATGTTGTCCGGTCCCATCGCCTTTGAGGTATCAAGGTCACTTAGCAGCTTCTTTACCTCCTCCTCGGTTGTTCGTATGTCATCCAACACTTGGTGGTATATTCCCTCTTGATGTTCCCTTCTGTGCTGACTTCCCACAGCCCTTCCTGTCTCTACTGTAAAAACTTCCTTAAATCTCCTGTTTAGCTCCTCATATACCTCCTGGTCATTTCTTGTGAGTTCT